CTTAGTATATCTGGTATTTTAGATACAGGCACGTGATATACTTTTCTACGTGTGGAACTTTATGCGAGTCATTTGCAATCATTTGTGAATTTTACATAGATACTTTTTAAAAGTACCGTTTCTTGCACTTGTTTATGGGATTATACTACCTGCATGATGGTCTGTTGGTGAAATATGTCTTTGTTGATCGTGTTATTTTTCTGTCACATAACACGTGTGCAATGACTTTTTTTGCCCGTTTTACTTCAGTTTGTGTGCTGCTTCGAAATAAAGTCTATCCAGGACGTCGGTGTTTGGACTTTCTTTGTGCATTTGTGAGTCTTAGCGTCACGAAGAAAATGCAATCGAATGTGACAACACAAAACATTCAATTTCATTTCGAGTTCGTGAGAAATGAGTGCCGTTTGAGAGTGGTGTCAAACTGCGCCGATGTTTCTGCTGCCAGGGAGTTGCCACTTCCAGAAAGACCCTTTTCCTGATAGCGCCCCCCCCCCCGCTGGAGAGATTGTTCCGGAGATTCTAAGCGCAGTATTTCCTACCGCTTGGACAGACATTGTTTTTGCACTTTGGCAATGTATTCTTTAGTCAGCAAATCGGTCGTGCAGTCCGTCTCCCAGGACGATGACCTCTCTTTGCATTGGCGAGGCTAATCCGTCGGCATCTTGTACGGTTGTTGTGTTTGTTTCCCGTGAGTTCGGCCGTGACTCGCAAGACCGGGGTTTGAAGGGCACTGCCTTAGTGTACAACAAATGTAGCATTCGGCTTAAATATTCCAACGGATTGGCTGCGGATGTTGCGAAAAAAGTTCAACATGTATGAAGTTCAACATGTATGGTAGTCGTGGGTATGAGACCCTATCACCAAGGCAAAAATGAGTTGAATTATCAGATACATTGCTTAAATATATACTTTACAGTTATTGGACAGTGTTCGCAATGATTAAATACTCAAAACACCATCATGGAACATCATAGCTTTCCTTGTAATAAATTAATCCTTTATGCATCGAATTAACATTGTTCAGGTATTAAATTTGACAAATGTGTATTCATGCTTAAATGGTTAAGATATTACCCATCTCCATTGGAAACCTTAAGCGAGTCGTGAAAGTTCAACATTCACTTCACGGGGGAACAGCCTCCTAAGAGACCCGGTTTAAACTCCCAACACTTTCATTTATTTGAAAAATTTATAATCGGTGACGTTTTGGGCAGTAGCCATTCGAGAGCACCGATTTTTGTTGTGCATCGCCAAGTTATATGTTTACATTGTGTATGCTTTAGTAGGTGTATAAATAGAGCTGGACAGTTCTCCTGATTCCTCACCTAGAATCAATACTATTAGAATAAAATACATTTCTTCACGGAATTGTGCAATCAACGGAATGTTGAAATTGGGTGGCGCAGTGGTTGGCGCTGCCCTTTGAACCCGGCTGCCCGAGTTCGATTCCCGCTCGTGGCAAACGGTAACGATTATTTGAACTGGTCCTGGGCCTTCCTAGGTCCACTTAGCCTCAAATGAGTACCTGGTGTGGTGTGGAAACATCGACCACTAGGGAGACAAAAGCAACCAGGTGTGGTGCTAGCCACCCACCCCCTCATGTGCCGTTTCTGCCTTCATAGGTGGTTGCAAACAGCACTTTCCCCAACAGTCTGTTAAAGGCTATATGGGGGAGCTTTGTCTTTTGGGGGAGCACACAGCCCGATGTGGTGTTCAAACAAACAAGGAGGGCCCATTTGGCCTGGGCAGCCTTATGGAATTGCCGTTGAAAAGTATGGCCATAAATGACGTCACGCACCTGGGGGGGGGGTCAGACATTTGTGACGAGGGGGGGGGTGAGAAATGTGACGTCACATCAAAATGCGCAACTTTAAATAAATATAGAATTGTTATAACAACACTAATTTTGATTAATTTTCATTATTAACTATTTGATTATTATATTCTTGGTTCTTTCGGTAAAGTCACGTCGAAGGGAAATAATAAATACAACTTTGATTATTTAAATTTACTAAGGTCACCTTTTATTTATTCCATTAAGGAGCATACATTTTGACCATTTTTTGAATGATTGTTATTTAACATTTTGATTATAATGATTCTACCAGGGCTTTTCATTCTGTGGAATGAATATATGATTGTTATTATTGTACTCTCCATTTTGCTTCGTTCTACTACAAAGTTTCAAGTATTTATTATAGTTATAATTCATTTTAATATTTTATAATTATAAGATAAGTTCAATATAATATTCTGAACATCTGCAGTTTTGGTTCGACGTTGAATATTGTCAAGTGAATTTTATGCTAATTTAAGCTTTCCAACGCCTTTTTAATACGTGTTTTCTACTACAACATCAGAGTGCAGCGCCACATTAAATACGCACTACAATGACAATAGTTTAAAGAGATTTGAAGCATGTTTTATTTTCAAAATGGAAATATGGTTTGGGGGGGGGAGTCAGAGCTTTGTGACGTCACTTGAGGGAGGTCTGACTTTTTGTGACGCCGTGTGACGAGGGGAGGGGGGGGTCAAAAATCGTCCAAAATCGCGTGACGTCATTTATGGACGGCCCCTTATGTAAAGAATTCGCCAGACTCCAGCACAATTCTAGAATGTTATGCAGGCAAGGGATCGTGGTGCTGGGCATCCTCGTGGCCACAGGCCTTGCCTGAGCGAATGCGTGGACGGGATTGCCAGATTCTCCCCGTGGCAAAATATCCTGATAAAATCCCATTGAAATTTCGATTTTAATATGGAATTAACTCTCGATTTAAAGCTTTCGTGACTGCAGGGATTCATCTTCTTGGTTCTTTCGGTAAAGTCACGTAGAAGGGAAGTAATAAAATAACAAAAATAAAACATTTATATATTTTTTATGTTTTATTTTTATTATTGTATTACTTCCCTTCTACGTGACTTTACCGAAAGAACCAAGAAGATGGAATTAACTCGTCGCACAATCGCAATTCGTGCAGGAATCTTACTGAGTGGAGTTGTAGGTATCAAATGTCTATTGATAACATTAACTTAACAAATGTGTTCTCCGGCAATATGATGAATTATGTTTTGGATTAGGCCACGTGAATGATCTTGATGAATCTGATTGGTTGTTCCCGTGATATAGTGACACTAATTCAGGAACTCTGAAGATGCTTCGTGAAACGTCGTATCTAATTGCTTCATTAGGTTGTGTGAATCGTTCTTCAACTTACCGGTGAGCTGCGCATTAAGTGCCTGTATACGTGAAAATGTAATTTGTTGGGCCATAGCTGTTGGAGAGCCTTGCAGACCCAAATGGCCAGAGTATTACATGGCCTTACCCGTATATAAATTATGAATTAAAGTTAACATTGTTGAAAATAGCTTTACTAAACTAAACACCTAAAAGCATCGTTCTGACCTGGCTTACATTTAAATCCAGTAAGCCTGTTGGTTAGAACTGTAGGTTTGTGGAAACTCATTTATTTTGACGAATCATTTTTTATTATTGTGTTCCAACACGACAGGAAAAAAACCATCAGAGTGTGTGACAAGAAATGGAAGTGGTGCAGAAATGAGAGCCTTTGTGCAAGAGATGGCTAAGACAAGGGCTGGGTGACGTGTGTGTGCGCGCGCGTGTGTGAACACAGACACTCAATTTAGAAACTAACTTGGTGGAATTTGCGTTTATGTTTCAGCAATGCCTAATGGGTTGGGTGTTCATTGCATGTGCACAGATGGGGAATGAGACTAATTGGCAGTATACAGATCTATGAATACACGTTATCTGAACCTTTTTGAACATCAATCGCCAATTTTACAATTGTTTATTCTTCAGTGTTGTTTTCTAAAACGACTGCCGAGTTTACCAGTTGCTCAATATCACTTCCCCCGAGGTTAATTTGTTTATCGCGTTTTCGACACGAGTTTGACAGGTATTTCTATGGCGGGGAAAAAAAACCCCGCGTAATGTGGGTGAGAAACTACTGAATCATACAAAACTTGTTTTTGTAAACTTGACTTTTCACCTACTCCGTATGAAAATACATCATTTCAAATAACGGTATGGGTCAGCGAGTTCATGCCCTTTTGTCCCAACCTTTGTGCGCCCTCGGATTCTGCAAAAACAGACTTTTTTTTAAAGTGTTGACCTAGTCATCGGATACGCTGTTCCGGATGTGGTCTATGTGCGTGCACGCTTGACCTCATTTTGTTTTAGTGAAGAAGAAGGAAAAAAAGCACGCAGAAAAAGCACCACGATCGTTTCTCGTAACGTTTATTAGTGCATAATCTTAGCGTTAGGCTGTGTATTGGTGCGATGGCACGTGAGCTGGACAACTCTGCTGCATGAGGTTTTCCTGCCCATCCATAGCACCTTCCCGCCACCAGCACAATTAAAGCTGTAGGAAAGAACAAAGTGTATATGTTATGCATGTGACCTAGGGAACCAATGAATAACAAACATACTGTACATGTCTTATTGTGTGCAAGTCGATGTGTGTATGATATTGTAAACAAATCATGTCGCATATCACCTAATCACCTGTAATGTGCTCCAGCAATCTTTACTCATCAACAATGATGGTTCCTGTAAGACAAGGGAGAAGGTCAGATTTTGATGGTCTGCAGCTTGTATCAGCATGGCTGACCTCAGCAAAACCTGTGACCTCGGCACAATGATATACGCACCATCGCATGTTCATACCGTAGGAACTAGCGCGTCATCATGTAAATCTGATGCAGTGGTGTTCACTGTTTGCATATTCCACTGTTGCCTTTCTAAGTGACCAGAACAGTAGGAATATGTGCTCTTAATTATTTTCATGACGTGAGCTCAACGTGCTTCGTGCCATTCCGTATTATCGCTCTCGCGTGAAACCAAGCAAACGTCAGTTAGCGTCGTGCCGTCTGATAGTCTGCTCGTAACTTACTTCCGCCAGCGATGCCGGTGCCTCCGATGATAGCTCCTGCGCTTGCCTGCTGGAACTGCGCACCGCTGCTCATGCCGCCTGCGGACATCATGGTTGCTGCCCTCTTCCATCGGCACCAGCCATCACCATTCCTCCCTCACCGACGGTGCCGCCTGCGAGCATGGCAGTGCCACCCTCGATCACGGTCATGCCGGTGACGACCTGCTGCTGCTGCTGCTGCTGGCTGCTGCTCATGCTCATGCTGCTGCTGCTGCTCGAGGTGACTTCGCCACCAGAGATGACAGTCGTGCCACCAACGCCACCTGCGCCAGCGACAACGGCACCAGTGCCACCAGCAAGCATGGCAACGCCGCCGCCGCCGCCTCCGCTAGCAAGAACGGTGCCGCCACCGCCGGCGACGGCGGTCACTCCTCCGCCACCCGTCAGCAGCGCTGGTGAAGGTATCGTTGCCGACTTGCTGGAAAAGATTGCTCCTCCGCCGCCGCCAGAGATGAAGGTGGTGCTTGCCCCGCTTGAAAGAACGGTGGAGCCCGCGCTCATGCTCTTGTCGGACCCGACATTTAGGAGCCTGGGTGCATGATTTGGAAAGGATATTTCAGCGGCGCACAGGACAATGCAATTAAATGATTGTATCATTGCCTTCTACTCCTCTTAGAGTCGAGGCAGTGTGAAGGAGTAGGACAAACTCGGCTTGGAAAGGCAAATCTCCCTCTTGAGAACGGCAATGTGTTCAGTGTTTACAGGCTGCACTTTAATGTTTTAAATGACCATGCCTGGCTGAATGCAATGTGAGAATGAAAGGGCCATGCGACACTGTGTTAGGCTATGACTATGCTGGGTTAAAAAATAAAACTGGAGCGAAACAATTCCCCTGGCCAATTTATGACCTGGAAGGTGATGACGGCGACGATGTTCTCAAAATCCACCGCACTCATGAGACCTTCAGTGCAGCCTCATGAACAGCGAGCGTCGGGGGAAGAAATACGTTTGGCGACGCGTGACTCACATGGCCTCCTCGCCCTCCAGCAAGCGCCGGTAGGTCTGGATCTCGGTGTCGAGCGCCGTCTTGACGTCCAGCAGCTCCTGGTAGTTGACGAGCTGGTTCTGGAGCGCCACGTGCGACGCCTCGATCTCCTGCTCGAGTGATACGATGAGGTTCTGCACGTCCGTGACGCTCGTGGTGGAGTGAAACTGGTACTCCTGCAGTGTCGACTGCAGCGTTTGGTTCTGGATTTTTTTTTTTTGCAGAAGGAGGAAAGGTACAGAATCCGATTATGTGTTTATACTGGAGGAGGAATGCCGTGAGCTGTCATGCTATTTTTCACAGGTGTCCAGTAGGGGCGGGTAAGAACGTTACCACAACAAGCAATACAAAATCGCGACGTAATGTAGAGTACAAGAAAGGTAAACAAAGCACCCAAAAACATCCAAATAAGACGAAACTATCACCATAATACCAAGTAAAGCCTACTGAGGTATTAACTCATTTTGCAGACGCGACCTGCTCACAAATGATAGCTCAACAAAGTGGCTTGTCATGTGGAAATTTCTAGCAGCAAAATGATCTCAATAAAGGCGCGGCCCTACAGTGTATTGCTCTCACCACTGCTGGCAGCAGGGCCTGCGTGCTTGGAAGAGGTGGGAGTTATCGACACAGTTACCCCACCACGCGCCACCTGCCAATCGAACGATGACCCATTTATACTGCCGGATGGACATACGCGGGGGGGGAGTGAATTGTTTCAGAAGGAACAAATTCGACTTAAACATCCTGCATTGAATTTGTTCTTGACTCTTTTGTATGGCTGTTATTTTACAAGGGTTTTTGTTCTTCTATTTTTGTATTAAAGGTTGTCAATGTCTGTGGTCTACTCAGTCGATCATTACTCCAGGCTTGAAAAATTAAGTGTCATTTCATGAGAAGACTGGCCCCACATTGGAAATGTGGAATTTCCATCATTGGCACAGGGCCTCCAATAGAGATGAGCAGTGTCCCATGCTCGTTTGAACCAGGCAGATACTCAGCAATTTTCACTCATGCTGAATACATTGACAAAAGCCTGTCTGTCACACAGCGCTTAGCAACTTAACGCCAATAGAACACGCAATAACTAACACATCCCTTGAATTAAACAAGATTTTCGGAACTTTGGAAATGGTCGATGGGATGGAGATGCAAAGTCGAGCAGTACAAGAAAATAAGGATGAAGAGGCATGTTCTGTGTGATCGTTAAACAGAGAATGGATGAATGAAAACAGAGTATCAATGAAGGCATCGGGGTTCGTGAGAAGTTCGTGGGGAGTGTGGTGTATGTGGTGACAGACACTCCGCATGGAAATGTGCTCGTTGAACAACTGCAGACAATGCCGTACCACATTGATGAGCTTGTGATATTCCACACTTAAGTCTTCGATTTCGTTCTGCAGCGTCGTCATGTCTGTCGTTATGGTCGTGAGTTGCTCGCTCGTCTGTGTTGTTTGCTGCTGAATTTGCTCAATCTGTTGGAGCAAGGGGCGCACAGCACCGTGAGCGTACATTTCAGATGATTTCATCGCACGTGTGAGCAAATCTACTTGTACATTAGGCAAAGTTCGATCCTCTTGCATCTTATCCTCCAGAACCACCAGTGAGATGTTAAGGATCTTGTTATCAAAAAGGCTTTGCTGAAATTAACTAGCTATCAGCTAGCTTTGAAGCTTTCGTGACTGCAAGGATTCATATTCTTAGATTTTTCGGTAAAGTCACGTAGGTAAAAAAAATACAATTAATAAAAGTTAAATAATAATAAAATAAAAATCACGAATATAGCTATCAGCTGGTATGTTTTGACAATGTTGTATTTAGATAGCGTTTATGACATCCACACGAGTTACGTTATTTCAGTGCCAGTTTCTGCTGTCCAAAATTATATTTTTTGTAAAACAAGTTCTGCCTTTCATAGTTGTGTGAGCGTGATGCATAACTACAAGAGCAGGGATATTACTGTGGGAACTACATTGGCGTGAAGTGTCACCAGTTACATAAAGTTGCATAAAGTGCTGTGCAGTGGTCGCACAAGTCATAAACTAATACACATATTGCCTCTTAAGCACCTCAGTGTGCCCCAGATTCATGAAAAATATAAGTATAACAAATGTCAGCTGTAATTCAAAGCCTTGTAAAACACAGAGGAAAAAAATTACATAATGTCATCCCTGTATTGTCTCTCATCTAAATCCACATTTTATCTTGCCTCCGCCTCTCATCGCACTCCACGTCTGTCTTCCCCGGACCTCGTTTTACTCTCATCACCTTTCTCTTCGGTCTACATTTCTCTGACGTGACTACATCACTCTCCCTTGACTCGTCTTTCATCTAAGAGATTGTAAATAAAACATGAATGAGCGATGTCCGCAATGGGTCAGCACCACCAGCAGAGGAAGATCGAGAAAGTGGTTCTCATCGTCTGGGTGGTGGAGGAGAGGAGGGGATGGGAGGCGGGGGGCAGCCCTAAAATTTCAAGTTTCATTTCTAAAATAGGACCCAACAATGTTTAAAATAATAATCAACGTATTTTCTTTGGTAATTATCAATAAAATACCAAATTTCAGTTCTGGAAGAGGGGCAATCACAGCCTCCCTCCCCAACCTGGACCCCCACCGCCGACTGACTCACCCACCCACCCACCACCCTGCCACTCACTGGAGAGACGTGGGTTTCTCTAACATGGTGGGGGGCGTCTTTGCGTCTCTCCGTTGCTGGCCCGTGCAGAGATGGACCAGAGCAGCGGCGTCGTTACCTTGCTGGTGCAGTAAGCGTCCGCCTCTTCGCGGTTGCGCTGCGCCGCCGTCTCGTATTCGTTACGAAGCGTGCTCAGCGCATCCATCAAGTTGATGGACTTGCCGCTGTCCACCTCGATCATGCTGCTGTGTGTGGTCGCGTACTTGCCGAACTTGGCCGACAGTTTCACCATTTCCTGCGCGTCGAACATTGGCAACCACCAGTTTGTCGTCGGTCAAGCGAGCCCTTCGTTGCTGCGGGTTCTTTCAGAATCGTTAGCAGCCTCGGGTTATACATATAAGCGAGATTGGCTGGCGTTGAAAGAAATCTGCTTCAATTGGAAGGCAGGATACACGTTTGTAGCGGTATGGTCCTGTACACATCCTCTGATAATTAAGCCCATCGACTACGATGATACATAGTTGGTATTATGTATACATGTGAATAAGTATGTAGTGTATAATCTTGAGGGATGATGATGGTGTGGGGGGAGTCCTACTTCCAGCAGTGGATAGAAAATGATTGATGATGACGAATCTCAATGCACGTCCTGCATAATCAATGGCTATGTATGACCCGCCCATACAGGACATCTATGAAAAAAGTGCTTTGTAGCTCATCGGATACCTCCAGTCGAAATGAAGTTACTGATTCTCCTTAATTGTGCAGGGCATGCATTTGATGTTACGTGCAGTCTGTGACGAATGCCTTACGCGCCATCTCGCTCAAATGAACTGGCCCGACTAAAATGCATGCGCGTAATGGGTGACATACTTCTTTGTGAATCGTGTTGTGGAAGGTCAAGTCTTCCTGCAGAATGGAGTACTTGCTCGTCAGGTCGCTCTTCATTTCCTGGGCAGCGTCAAGGTCCTTTGTGGGAACATGGACCGAAAGTTAGAGCATAATATCGCTTATTTTTGGGGGGTTAGATCGCATAAATGTGTCGTTAAACCCGCCACCACCCGACACAGCCAACTATGTAAGTTTTGTCACATAAACAAAACGTGCCAATTCGTTTCTAGTACAGCACCGTCGGTGTGTTGCAGGGTATTGCTCGCGAAAGCCTACGTGTTCAACGGAAAGTTAGTGCCCTAACTCAACGCTTCCCCACAATGTCAGGCCCGTGCGATGAAAGCGCCGGAGTCGTGAGGCTGCACGGTGGCCCCAAGCGTCGGCAATGTCACAATGAAGCCAAAAGGTGCCACGTTGCCGATGTTACCGATGTCACCGATGTCACGCGCGCACACAAACCCGTTTCATGTTGCTGATGTCCGTTTCCAGTTGGAATTTCACGCCAGCCTCAAATTCATACCTGGACACAACAATGGTATTATGATAACAGGTGATACATTGTGCGTATACATACACACACATATTCTGTATTGACACTTGTGAATTGAAGGTTATTTCTTTTTTTTTGGAAAACCACGTGTCCCTTTACGATAAATGTGTTTACGGTAGCTACACGTTGCTTTATTTCCTGCGAGGTCGGTGTTGAAGTATATGTTGTTTGTGCCATGTGGTTTGTGAGGTTATTGGTTTCTTAACTTTGAGATTACGCGGCCGTGTGCCTAAGCAAGTGGAGCGTGGGTGGGTTTGGGTACCGGTGCAACGAATTAAATTGTGCCCCGTCCCGATTCCCCCACCGCTCCCCCTATTTATAATCTGGCATCTTCACCCCCTCCGGCTCGTTGGGACCTGGCCCAGTTGCGCCAGCGAGCTGCACACCTGGGAGCCACCACCTGAGAGCCACACACCTGAAAGCCAAGTCAGTGGGGCCGCTCGCTTTATCGGCGAGGGTTTAAACCCAGGGGCTCTGAAAACTCCCCACGCACACTGCACCCTCCACCTTCCGATGTGCCGTGTCGCGTATTGTTATTAAACATATAAAAACAGTAACTAAAATCGAACAATCTATCTTTAAGTTGTTCGCTTAAGTTCGCCATGAGAAGCACACGTTGCATGGGTTATAATAATGTGATGAAGATACACTTGGTTGTTAGTGAACACACTGTGAATAATGCACCACTATATTTGTGTGTTCTGATTTCAGATTGGACGCGAAATTTGATGACGACGATGACGAAGCTGATGATCCTCGTTAATCCGCACTCCGTGCATGATCGTCGCTCAAATTATTTGCAACGTAACGATCTGAGAACATATTCTTAGGTTTTTTCCGGTAAAGTCACGTAGGTATAAACATTAAAAAGTAAAATAAAATAAAAATCACGACGTTTTCGGAGGCAACACAAGCTTCCGTGGTACCGTCACAGCCACGACAGCTGTATCAAGTAATAGATTTGAGAACAGCAGCCCTTTTTTAATATAGAGAGAAAACAAAACACGACGGCACGGCGACCAAACACGCGTCCCGTGCAAACAAAAGAGCGCAAACCGACTTCGACTTGATCTCCTCGGCGGCGACCCTCAGGTTGTCCACCTCGATCTCCAGGTGGACGCGCTCCATGGTGAACACGTTGATATTCTTGAGCATCTCGGTGACGGTCACCTCGTAGTTGTCCACCGTGATGGAGGGGTCTGGCATCACGGGGACTGCTGCCGGTCATGGCCTTGAGCTGCGCCTCGAGCATCGCGTTCTCGATGGTCAGCTGGCGCACCTTCTCCACGTAGCCCACCAGGCGCGTGTTGAGGTTGTTCAGGATGCCCTTCTCGGTGAGGCGGTTGACCATGGGCGGAAGGGTCTTCATCAGGTTATTCACCGTGCTGTGGAACCCACCCTGAGTGATGGCTCTGCCGATGCTGAAAGCTGGGCTGCTGGGAAAGCCGGCCGGGCCGCTCACACCCCCCGGCCCCATGTACATGCCGCCGGTGGGACCCATGTACATGCCGCCCGTGGGACCCATGTACACGCCACCGCCGCCGGAGGGCCCCATGAGTTGGCCACCAACCACGGTGCCGTGGCCCATGCCCAGCTGGGACATTCCACCACCCGCGCCGAAAGCGGAGAGCGACCCCCCGCTGATGCCGCCAGGCACCCCATACGTGCCGCCAGCCCCTCCTAATCCAGAAGCCCCAAAGGACCTGGGATACCCGAGACCTCCTCCCGTCCCAAGGACTCCTCCTAACCCACTTCCAAGAATCCTGCACCACCCCTGGCACCACTCCCCGTGCCGTAGATGCCCCGCTGGACATGGATCCCCCTCCGCTATAAAAGCTGCTCATGCCACCACCACCGCCACCACCGCCTTGTGCAAACATTGAGCCTCCTGAGCCTACGCCGCTGCTACTGCTCATGCCACCACCACCGCCACCACCGCCTTGTGCAAACATTGAGCCTCCTGTGCCTACGCCGCTGCTGCTGCTCATGCCACCGGAATAGGATGAGCTCGAGGACTGCATGATGGCTTGCTCTTGTTTCCCGATTTGCAGCACAGTGATACGGCAACTGGCAGTGGCTTGCAACGTACCCCGCGTCTGAACAGAAGCAAGCTGAATTCGGTCGCGGATTTATAGAGGGGAATTAACAAGAAAAAATCTAACAGTGACGCGGTTGTCAATTGTGTATTCAGAAATAAGTTGTATGTTCAGAAGCGCGTTGTTTGGAGACATGTACAGACTCGGTTTTCGGCATCGATTGGGCTGACGTGGTATTTATGAGCACGTGCAGTGAGATAATTACGTTACCAACTTGCGGTGGCGTTCTGCTTAACATAAACACGTCCTGGAGTATGATTTATGCATGAGCCCGTTAAGAGTGAATGCTATTCTAATGTCAAAGTACCGTATAACGTTGACCTGCTTAAACATGTAGCCTAGGGTGCGACTCAATATGCAAATGGTAAAAAATAAGTTAAGTCTCACTTTTCTGGGATCACATCCTCAAAATGTTGTTACCTTTGAGATAAAAGTCAATTTCTGAGTGTAATTCTAATCTCTGCGTATTCACGGGTTGCTCACGATCCTGTCTAATCCTCTGAGTATATAACCTAATACCACGACCCGTGTGTGTGTCGAGTCGAAGGCATCATTGAGCAACCAGTATATACTCAGGGATGTTATCTTAAACTTCCAGTAGCTTCGGTTTAACTGGCAAATTTAATACAAATCAAGAGGTCCGATTTTTGAAAATAACAAACTGCATTTTTGAGTGGCACCCGAATCAGTTTAACAAGTAGACATTCGCGACCAATATTATTCATAATCAACGTTTTTGGGTTAGATCGCGTTATTTGTCAACGTGACACTTTTTTTGCTGATTGGCCGTGTCGGGTGGTGGAGGGTTACGACACATTTATAAATAATGCCATCTAACCCAAAAACGTTGATTATGAATGGCACCCGAATGTTGCCCTACGCTTAAAGTCTTCTGAGCTTTTTAAAACGCAACATACAAGCGTCGTAATGAAATATATTCTTAATGAAATGACCTTAAATGAAACAAGATATCGTAATTCTTGCAGATATGGCATTTACTGATTTATGACACGTGAATAGGATTGAGAATAGACAATTGCCATTTCTCTGGGCAATACGTAGTCGATAAGCAATGCATCTTTGCATTTATATGGCACCTAAAATCGTCAGCGCTCAAAGCGTCTGACACCACATCTCAAACATTCAAAGGGATCCCCAGTGGCAGCTGTCCCTGTGCGGCACACTCAGCACCGGCCTGAAAGTGGCCATTGGCCGGGCCGTGTCACACAAACCCTCTGGGTTGAAGTTAGTTAATTGGGAGTTGATGTTGTGCAACTGTTCTAGTTTAACAAACCCTGAACAAGTGACAAACGCAAACAGATGCTGTATCTTGCCTGTGGAGAGAATATCTTTCTGCTGTGCAAGAAACCCTGATAGAGAATTTTGACTTTGATCATACTAATAAAAGAATAACAATCGTTCACTCAGCTGGCTGTGGTCTTTTGAGAAAATTGTGAAATCAAATTTTGTGTCTAAAATTGATTGCCGAGGCTTGCTATTACGCCTGTGTCAAGAATCATCCTCGACATAGAAATGCATTAAATAGAACATTCAAAAGTATATCATAATCAACAGGTTAATATAAATCACATGTAAAAAATCGAACTGCACCATTAAATATGTTCTCATTGACATCTTAAATTAAAGCGGTACATATGAAGAACAAATAATAAAATCACATCTTAACAAAGAATGCGCTGAGCAAATGCGAGTCTTGAATTACACCCGGTCACAGGCATGGTGAGCGCGAACTCCGATCGATGTCATTGCTAAACACGATGAATCATGAACGATGGGGAAAGGGGGTTTTCTAGCTGTTAAAAGGTGATTTGTCGCAGTGGTTATATTCAGAGAAATGTAATTCTAGGGTTGCATGTCATTGCAAGTTCATTTGAAGCGAACATTCGTTACAACCTCAACTTAAAGCTTTCGTGACTACAGGAATTCCTATTATTTGGCTCTTTCGGTAAGTCACGTAGTTAGGTTCAAATGAATCAAAATAAAACAAAAAAACTACGACGTTTCGATCGCAACACACGCGGTCGTCATTAGTGCCTGTGTTGCGATCGAAACGTCGTAGTTTTTTTTGTTTATTTTATGTATTTTTTAAATCACAATTTCAAGAAAGTTGAAGGAGCGTCAAACATGTACATTCATGCGATTTGCAGTTTACACATTTTTAGAAACTCAAGTAGGATACACACTGTATATAATAAGTAGGATGTAATATCCTACTTAAGTATAGGAAACGGTATATATATGTATACACACGCAGGTTTCCCCTCGCTTTATGCCCGTTCGGTTTTTGCAATTTCGCGTGTACGCCGCTAAACACATTTCTTCTCTACACAAAATTCGCATTGTGCCGTTTGAATCCACTCGTAGTGCGGCTATGCGGTCGGACGTGGGACAACACTGCGTGTACTGTTTGTGTACTGTTTGTGTACTGTGTGTGTACTGTGTGTGTACTATTTGTGTACTGTT